TTCCCTCCTCCTCCTCGTGCGTCCCATCAGTTCCTCTCTTCTGCAGCCGCCTCACTCCTCTCAGCCGCCTCCTCCTCTCCTCCTCCTCCGCCTCACTCCCCCTCCTCCTCCCCTCCCTCTCCTCCTCCTCCTCCCCTCCCTCCTCCCTCCTCCTCCTCCCTCCTCCCTCCTCCCTCCGCCCTCCTCCCTCCTCCCTCCTCCTCCCTCCTCCTGCTCCTCCTCCTCCTCCTCCTCCTCCTCCTCCTCGCTCGCCGCGGCCAAAAGCCACCCCCTCGCTGCTCCCGCACGATCGGCCGTTTCCGAAACTAGGGGGCAAACAAACCTACCTCGCTTTTGACCACCGCCCAGGGACAGGCGCCCCCGACAGCAAAAAAGTTTATGTTATACCGCTCTTCGCCCGTTAAGACAGGGGGAGGGGGGGACGGCTTTTTGCAAGGGGGCTGCTCCTTAGAAGGCGCGGGCCTTACTAGGGGGCAACCAAACCTACCTCGCTTTTGACCACCCTCGCTTCCAAGAGATACCAAGCAATGCCAAACTACGGCATGTACTGGTCAGGCCGCTTGCCGAGGAGGCGCGTGGTATGACTTTGTTTTGCCTGGAAGCGAAAGCGGGGTGGGTAATTTACGCTCTGAGAAACGTCAGATCGTTCCACATCGAACGACTCCGGGCCGCCGGCGGCGTTCTGCGCCGAACGCCCACGGCAGGATCGCCGCCGGTCGACACGACGCGAAGCCGCCGTCACCTAAGTCGGGCCAGTCCCCCTACAGGGGGATTTTCAACGGAAAATAAAAAATACCCAAACAATAGTCAAATTATAGTCCAAAAACACAGTCTGGGGATCATTTGTTGGGTATCTTTTGGCCTTTTCGGTGTATTTTTTCATGTATTTTCATTTTTCGTCGAAAATCCCTCTGCAGGGGGGACACGCCCGACATATAACCGTAACCATAAACTTTCGGAGCTCCGCGCGGGTTCTTGCATCTGCGCAGGGGCCCCTCGGCGGTGCCCCGGGCGCCGCCCCCGGCGCGCTCTGCGCGCCAGGGAGAAGGGTCCAGCTGTGATCCAAGAAGCGCGCGCGGATCTCCGATAGTTTGTGTTCGACCCCGTTGTTCCTCCCTCGAGTGATGCGTGCTATCTTCAGGCCTCCCTCATGTAGTCCGGCTGCCTGACTTCCAGGAAAGGCGCGCTGCTCCTTATCTGGAGGCCTCGAGGCTCCCTGTTCCCAGCGATCCCTCGCAACATTCGCTTGCAAGACCACGGCCCCAAGTGAAAATAAAAGGATATCCAGACATCGGACGATATGTGTTTTTCAATCCGCGACCCAAAGGTCCTGACCATTTCCTCGGGGGGAGGGTTGGGCCCCGGATCGGATTCGGTGTTGATGGTCCCAGGCGCCGATTTTGGCCTCCGGAGGCCGAAATCGAGGAAAAGCGCTCGGGTCCATCAATCATCCCGGCGAAGAACCAAACCATATGCAGCTGTGAATACCGCGGGGCAGGGCGGGACGATTCAGGGGGAACTCCCTACAGTCGGGGCCTTGACCTAAGGAGCCCAAAATAAGAAACGAGGCCCCTTCTTTCCAGAAGTTCAACTTCGATATCCGATCGAACACATAAGGAAAACCTGAGGCAAGCTGCGAAACACTTAAGGAACGCGGAGCCCCTCCCCAACGAAAAGGGTTCCTTCTTCAGGGCCCCGGCTGTATGGGGCCGCAGACCGCGTGAGAAGGGCGAACCGCGTGAGGGGTGGGCCAACACGGGGCGGGCAGGGCACCACAGGGGGGCTGCGGGGGAGACGCATGCGATGACGGCTGCGGTGGCCTTCGGTGGAGCTCCTTCTAGGGGCCACGAAGCGCGTGCGGGGCGTGCCGAACTGGGCGGGGGAGGCGCGCGCGAGGACGGCCGCGAGGACCTTCGGTGGAGCTCCCGAGGGGGCCACGGTCCTCGTGCGGGGCGCGCCGACATGGGTGGCGCGTGGAGAGCAAGAGGCAGGGATGGGAGGAGGGAGGAGGGGGACGAGGGGGCAGAGGAAGGGGGGGGAGGAGGGAGGAGGGGGGAGGGAGGAGGGAGGAGGAGGGAGGAGGGGGGGAGGCAGGAGGGAGGAGGGAGGAGGAGGGGGAAGGAGGGGGGAGGGAGGAGGGAGGAGGGGGGAGGAAGGAGGGGGACGAGGGAGGAGGGAGGAGGGGGACGAGGGGGCCGAGGAGGGGGACGCAGGGCGCTCTCCCCAGCACGAGGACCCAGCACCACAGGATTGGGCATCGCTCGGACGTCCATTCCCTGTGTTCTTTTTGGTGTCGTGCATTCGCCAAATGATCAAGGATGCTCCTCGATGGTCCTCGCCGGAGGAAAAATGCACACGTCCGAGCGATGCCAAAACATCGTCGGGCACCCGCTCCTTGGGCCACGATCGCCCAACGGCAACGATCCTCTGCACTTCCCAATGCGGGCACGACGGGAGGGCCGCTGCGGCTTGAGCCGCCTGCTGCTGCCGCTGTAGCCTCTGCTGCCGTTTGCCTCCGCCGGGAAGCGGTAATCGCGGACGGGCAACATGGGGACGATGTCCAACATCGGGGGCAAGCGAGGATGGGAAGTGAAAAGGAGAAAGGCCTATCAAAAGGCGACGGGGCTTCTCAGAAGCCCTCCGGCCCCAGGTGTTCTGGATCTTCGGGGAAGGCTCAGACATCTTCCCAGAATGGCGGGGGACTTCTGAGCCTTCAGAAAAGGCCCGCCCCCTCTTACTTTACAGTCGGACCTAGGCCAGAAGAACACCCTGCAAGAACATGAGACCCTCCGCCAGCCAAAACGCACAGAACATCAAAGGGTACCCTCCCCAGGACGCACAAGAGCATCCAGCAGGCACGAACAACACCAAGGTGCCCTCCCCGAACCGGCCTCGACCTTATGCCTCGGTCCGACTGGAATTGGAGAATCTATGAGATCCGGCGGGTCTGGAGGATGCATGAGACCTGGAGAAACATGATGGCCCCGGCCATGATTTGGCGGGATGCAAATGGGGGGATAAGTCCAGGGGGGGAGAGAGGCGCAACCGAGGTACAAATTGCACCTACGCCCCACGGAGAAGGTACAATTTGTACCGACGCCACGCAGACAAGGTACAAATTGTACTTTTGACAACGACCGCGACATGTGCGAGGATGTTCACGGGGGGGACTAGGTACAATTTGTACTTGCAACCCGCAGAGAAGGTGCAAATTGTACCCCAACAAAACGGTACCGGATACTCATCCCCCCACGTCCTGATCCCCCCATCGCCATCCGGCCGAATGATATCCACCACCACCTCTATAGCCATCAAGCCCCTCTCTTGGACGCCTCCGAACGTGCGGCGGCAAGCCCGAGCTCCGGCCAGCTCGAGCGCTACGCTTCCCCGAAGCAGGGGAGAGATCGAGGGAGGGGCACTCGACATCTGTGCGGCGGGTTCGAGCCGCGGCGACGCCGGCGCAGGCTTCTGAACGCGCGTGGATCGCCCAGTCTGAAAACGATCGTGGCTTTCCAGTACAGTCAGGGGCTTGACCTAAGGAACCCAAAATAAGGAACGAGGCCCCTTTTTTCCATGAGTTAAACTTCGATTCCCGATCGAAAACATAAGGAAAGCCTGAGGCAAGCTGCGAAACACTTAAGGAACGCGGAGCCCCTCCCCAACGAAAAGGGTTCCTTCTTCAGGGCCCCGACTGTAGTGCAAATCGCTCCAGATCGGCCGACCCTGGACCACCAGCCACGCTTCAGCCCGCACGCCGCCCCCGGGGTGGCCGCCGCGCCGACGCGTCACGGACCTGCTGCGTGCTTTCTCCCGTGACCTTTGAGAGCTGGCCAAGGGTGTGGGGCTGACTGAGAGCTGACTTTTGCGAGCTGACTTTTGAAAGCTGACTCTTGAGAGCTGACTTCTGAGAGCATGCCTGTCTGGAGGTCGGAGAAGGGGTGTGGCACAAAAAAAGGTGTGGTGCCGATCCTGGAACTGGCAATGCCATCGATTATGGATCGCATTACCTGATTCAGCATTGACACCGCACCATTTTACACCGCACCCTCGTTCTCGGCTACACGCAAGAGTGACCCTAGGCAAGAGTGACCTTTAGTGCGCGGATTAAGAGGGCGCACGGTGCCGAAACTCAGGCCACTGCCGCATCTCGCTCAGCGATCGGGGGGACCCCAGTGGGCCCGCGCCAAAAGGGTCACTCCGGCGAATGGTCGCTCGTAGGTCTAGTCGATCTTCTACCTCCAGAATGTGTGAGGGGCAACGGTAGGGAGGGACTGGCATAGGGGAACATACATCGACCTGGAATCGGCGATACATCGCCGATAGAGCGACGATAGGCCCCCGATGCTGAATCCGAACCTTCCTGGGCAGGTTGGGGCTCTCGGCCCCCTACCGGCGATCAGTGGGCGATTGGGCGTCGATGCATCCCCCCCCCCCCCGTGCCCATGCCCCCCTCCCCTGTTAGAGGCCTCCTGGATGGGGTCGAAATAGATGGGGCCGGAGGATCGCGCAGCATCGCCGATGCATCGGCGATGCATCGGCCATGCACTGGCGACGTCGGCGATGCATCGGCGACGTCGACGTGAAGCAAATCGGGCCCCACATCGAGCCGCATCGGCGATGCGGCACGATCCTCCGACCCCATCAACTCCGACCCCATCTAGGAGGCCTAACCCCAGGAAGCATTTAAGAACCCCCCCCCCCCTCCGGCAAATCGATAACCCTTCCGCACCATCATCCATATCCGCATCATCATCATCATCATCATCATCATCATCATCATCATCATCATCATCATCATCATCATCATCATCATCATCATCATCATCATCATCACATTATCATCGTGTCCGGGTGCTACAGCTATCGTTCGGTTATTTCGGCCCTTCGGAATATCGAATAAAAAATGCGGTGCTACGATATCGCCGGGGGGTTTCTTAAATGCTTCCTGGGGTTAGACCTGTGCCCATCCCCCACCTGTGCCCATCCCCCCCCACCCTGTCGTTGCCCCTGACTGTGCCGCCCGCCCGGCAGGCTTGACCATGGACCGGGCCGGGCAGCGCCTGCTCTGCCCCGTGAGGCCGCGGCGGGCGTACCTTTGCCGCCCGCCGCGGCGGCGGGCCACGAGTCGAACAGAAGGTCCTGGCCCTCCCCTGCTCCTCCTCCTCCTCCTCCTCCTCTTCTTCTTCTTCTTCTTCATATTCTTCTTCTGCTTTTTCTGTTTTTTCTGCTTCTTCTGCTTATTATTATTATTATTCGTATTATTATTATTCTTCTTCTTCTTCTTCTTCTGCTGCTTTTTCTCATTATTCTTCTTCGTTTTCTAATTCTTTTTCTTCCTCTTCTTCTTCCTCCTCTTCCTCCTCCTCCTCCTCCCCTCCTCCGCCGACCGCCCCCCTCCTCCTCCTCTCCTCCTCCTCCTCCTCCGCCTCCCCCTCCGGTCCTCCTCCTACTCCTCCCCCTCCTTCCCTCCTCCTCCTCCTCCTCCTCCGCCTCCTCCTCCTCCTCCTCCCTCTTCCTCCTCTCTCCTCCCCTCCTCCTCCTCTCCTCCTCCTCCTCCTTCTATTCCTCCCCCTCCTCCTCCTCCTCCTCCTCCTCCCCCTCCTCCTCCTCCTCCTCCTCCTCATCCTCCTGTTGGCCAGCCCAGGGGGGTAGGAGTGGGAGGGCGCAGGCCTGCTCAGAGGGATCGGAGGTCCCGCAGCCTTCCGAGAAGTGATCCAAGTCTTCCCCGAGGACGCCGAAAACGCCTCAAAAGGCCAGAGGGTTTCTGACAAGCGCTCCCGCCTTCAGAGAAGGCCTTCTCCTTCTCACTTCCCACCCTCGCTTACCGCCGATCCTTCTCCTGCTCCTCCCTCTCCTCCTCCTCCCTCCGCCTATCCTTCTTGAAAATAAACCCTCCGTGTCGCCCCCCCCCCCCCACACGTGTTGGCAGGGCGGGCTGGGCGTTTCGCCTGAGACTCCTTCATTACTCAAGATCCTGAAGCTTGACGTCTGCAAAAGCTTCACGCATGGAGGGCGGGCCGTTTTCAAAATGTACCCTTCACACTAGTGTCGCGCACATCCGCTTTGAAGTTCAAAAAATTGCAGCAGTCTCACGGGTGGCGGTTCCTTTTCAAACTGTGGTTCTCGCTTTAGCGATCCGCACATTCGTGTTGAACATGTGCAGCAGCTTCACGGGTGGCGGCTCCTTTTCAACATGTGGTTCTCGCGTTAACGCTGCGCACATTCGTCTTAAACATGTGTAACAGCGCTTGGAATATTCGTGCGACTGGAGTCCTAGGAATGCTGTGCTGGCTCGATTGAAACATTATCGCCAAGCAAAAGACACGCTCATTCGCTGCGTTGAACTCCCAAGAAGCGTGTCCAGGCATGCTTGGATATTGTCAAGACGGAGCAGTCGCGTTGGCTCGCGGCGATGGACTACCAGGAACGGCGTTTTGACACGATCGAGGATTCTCACGCAACTGTTCTCATGCGTCCTGGGTTAACACTGGCTCTCTCCTCCATCCTGCCTCCTCCTCCTCCTGCTGCTCGTCCCCCTCCTCCTCCTCCTCCTCCTCCTCCTCCTCCTCCTTTTCCTCCCCCCCCGCACATGTATTGGCCAGTCCACTCCAGCAGGGAGGTGCCCGAGTGCCGATGAGAAGCCTGGAACTTGCACTGTCATCGAGCCGTTCAGGACGGCGGCAACCCCGCTCGGCGACAGCGCCGAGACCAGGCCCACCAGAGGTCGCAAGTCGTAAGCGTTGGAAGGCCCACTCTTCTCTGTCCGCTCTCTCATGCCCTCCCATCCCCTCGCCCTTGCACCGCCATCTCGCGAGCTCCCATTTAGAAAGACAAACAACGCCATACACATAAGCTTCTGGCGCTCCGCGAAGATTTCTTGGATCTGCGCTGACCCCCCTCCGTGGCGCGTGGAGCGCGCCAGGCGCGGCGCCGGAGGGGCCCAGCGCTGAACCAAGAAATCCGCGCAGGGCGCCAACAGTTTATGTTTATGGCGTGTTGTTTTCGTTTCTCTACGAGTGCACTCCCATTCCCTCGCCCGGGCAACGCCATCTCGCGAGCTTCGACTGCGCCCTCCAGTCTGAGCTCGGGAGCTCGCCTCCCGTGCACTCTTCCACGCGGCAGCCTCGAGCAGCTCTGGATGTGGGCATGCAAAGGTTTGCACAGGCAGGCGCCAGGAATCAAAACAGGCGGGGCTCAGCGTGAGCAGCTGCCTTTAGCGGCGACCAGGCAACGCCAGCGGCAAAGAGCGAACCGCGCGCCTCAGCTACAGTTGGAGCTCGACGACAAGAAGCCGTCCGCAAGAAACCCACCCCTGAGACCCCAGGGCATCCTCTGATTTTCGGTGCGAGAACATCACGCATTCCACGCCAAAACCATCGACGCCCAAGAAACCCTGGGCACCCTGGAGGCAACCAGGGTGTTTGTTGGCATGGGTCTCAACCGCGCGCGCGTACAATGCTGAAGTGGGCGCAGGCGACAAGACAGGCAGCACCATCAGCTACAACGCTGGGGGCGGCTCACGACAGAAAGCAGACAGCGGCAGGAAAGGTCGTCAGTGCGAGAACACAGGCGGCGGCAGCACGGCCCGTCAATGCGAGAAGGCAGGCAATGGCAATTGTCGGCGCCCGAAGGCCAGACAAGAGCGCGGCATCAACAGTGTCGAAACTGGGACCAGCTCGCGCGACAAGGCCGGCAGCAACAAAAGTGCCAGTCGAGAAGGCGGGCAGCGGCAGCGGCGACCGCCCGCCGGGAGGTCCCCGTCGCAAGGGTCAACGAGGATGAAGCCCAATCGGGATGCTGCCGCGCCAGACTAGGCCACGCGAGGAAGCAGGATGGAGCCCGACGAAGCGGCATTCAGCCGGGTCGAGCCCGATGCCGGACCAGGGCAATTTTTTTGTGGCCCGGCGGGCGCAGCCCAACCGAGCGGGCGCCGACGCGCCGCGCTCAGGACAGGCCGCCCGCACCGAATTAGGGGGGGAGGGTAGGGCCCCCGCGACCCCGGCCAGCACAAGGGAGTGCACGGCAGCGGGATGGTGGGGGGCGTTGCCTCCGCGAGCGTCATCAGCAACGCTCGCCTCAAACCAGGAGGTGCAACTGACCACTCTGTACACCCTAGCGGAGCGGGTGGGCCCAGGCAGCGGACCAGGGCAAAATCAGAACTTGACCTCCCAGGAGCTGCGCCCGAGCAGCAGTGGTCCGCGGCGCAATGGCAGCACGCGGTGGCAGCCAGGGCCGGCCCGTGCGGGCATGCGCCGCGGAGGCCGCGGCAGGCGCGGGCGCGGAGGAGCGCAGGCCGGGGCAGCAGCAGCAGCCGCCGAAGCCGAGCCGATCGACGACCGAACGCGGGCCACGCGCGAGATGACGTTTTCTGGCTCTTTCGGAGTGTCCATTTGAGAGGTCTTTGTGTAAATTCTCTCAAAAAAGTGGTTGTTAGTAGTGTATCATGAGACGACGATTTCTCCTTCAGAACATAGTTATCCAGTACAGGGCAGTTTTAGACACATTTGATTTTTCCACCTACAGGATACTTAACACATGACCAATTTATGAATAGAGGCGCGCATGAACTCATCGCTGTTTTTAAGGCTAAATCCCTGCAGTCTTAAAACATGATCCGCACGCGGAGCATGCATTAAAAACGGCACTGTACATTCAACCCGCATCAGAAGGATGCGCGATAAGGACGCAGGGGCCCTGGAAAGGCCGTCCCGAAGCTTTTGGAGTGGGGCGCGGCCAGCGACAAGATGGACCGAGGAGGCAAGGATGCAAGGGTAACCGTTGAACTCAGGAAAATGGCCCATCCTTACTATGCGGGTGGACTGTATTGTAGCGACCTTGCGCCGCAGTTTACGCGGGCTGCTGGCGCGGCACGCTGCACTGGAAGCGAGGGCGCTAACGCGCGAGCTTACGCGGTCAGCTTATGCGCCAATGTCGGGGCAGACGGCCCCGTTGCCTTGCGTCGCTCAACTGCTCAGCATGACAGAAGCATCGTCAACTGCAAAGCTTGAGTCGGCTCTTTCGAAAAAGCAGGCAGTGGCAGCACCAGTGGCTGGTGCCAGGCGGCAGGCAGTGGCAGCAAGGACTGCATGGGCAAGAAGGCAGGGCCATCAGCTACATTGCAGGGATCAGCTAGCTTGCGCGAGACAACAGGCACTGGCGCGGCGAGGGGGACGATCATCAGCTACAATGTGGAGGGCAAGGCTCGTGCGAGAAGGCAGGCAGTGGCAGCAGCTACAGCGATGCGACTAACTCGTGCGAGAAGGGCGCAAAGCGTGCACGTTAGGCCGTCGACACAGCGCAACCGCGGACGACCAGCATCTGCGTGGGAAGGTGTCCCGTTTCATCCCACTGCCGTGCGGAGATTGCGAGTGCGAGTGGTTGGTGCCGAATACGCCAACAGCGCGAGCGTGGCGGGGGCATCTCCTGGCAGCCTTCGTGGAGCGGAACGCATCTGTCCACGAATCGGTCCGAGTGGGGGACCACAAAGCTTGGCCGTCTCTAGCCTGGCTCGGGGGTGGCCAGTGTTGGCTGCGAGATCTGCGGGGCGTGCCCTTTGGTGGCAGTAGCTTGCGCTGCCTGTTTCCACCTGGTGCCCCATTGCCTCCGACCTCCATCATCGTGCCTGATGCTACTCCTCCAGCCTCATCATCCTCCTTCCCTCTCACTTGTTTCTGTGATTCCCGCTCACTCCCCGTGCCCTTCTGCTCCTTCCCTGCTCTCCCGCTCTATCCCTCATGCCCGCCTTGTTGCTGCCCTTTTGTTTCGAACTAGGGCCCTTGGCCTTAGAGCTGCGCAGATTGATTCGCCGCGCGATCATTCGACAAACGATATCAGCGATATCCATATCACAGTGGTAGCGGAGCGAGGCTCGCTATCCCGGCCCGCGGGGCCGTATACCCAAGACGACGTCCGCGACGTCGCACTCCATATTGGAATCGAGGCCCAGCGGCCTCCTCGCGCTGTTGCTCAGCGCCTACGCCTACGCCAGCGTCAGCGACGCCAGCACCTACGCCAGCGTCAGCGACGCCAGCACCAACGCCAGCGTCAGCGACGCCAGCGACTACGCCTACTACGCCTACATCCCTGCCAGCTCCAACGCCAGCGTCAGCGACGCCAGCAACCCCATCTTCTTTCCCACCCTCAGCAGCGACGA